CGAAATGGACAGCAAGATGGAACAACATGGTGGTCCTTGTTCTGATTTGTTCGCCCCTTGAAGAGTCCTACCCAGATCATCCCGAAATCCGTTTCGGCCAACTTCCATCAGGCGACAATCCCACGAACTACTGTATGGAATTTGTGGATGGAAGACATCCTGCACCCCACTTGGCATGGTACGTTGCCCCTTAATTTTTGGACCGCATCATACCCCAGTAGCTCTTCCGACCTTCCTCATGCATGCGCAACATCCCGGCTTTCGAATCCCAGATGAGTATTTGCGGAAGCCAACCGCACGACCTCTATGACTTGGCGAGAACAGATTTGACCCGCAGAAAGTTGGGATCTCATGCATCTCACCGGACAAAACCAGTGGTTTAGATGCGACCCATTGGTCTTGAGTTGAAGTCAGACCCGTTGTCTTATCAAAGCAGCACCAGGTCTTGGGCATCGGGATGCTCGTCCAGACAGACCAACCTCTAGACAGATCCAAATCCCTCAAAGATCTTGGTGCAAAGCGCTCGTTCTCCATCCGTCGGCACCCATCCGTGCCCATCCGCTTTCTCCTGTGCTCCAGGTGGTGGACGACCCATCATCTTTGCCCTGTCGAATCCCATGAGCCAGGCAGAGATCACCGCGGAGGATTGCTACAAGTTCTCCGAGGGTGAGGCGGAGAAGGGTCGTATTTTTTTTCGTTTTGGGGTCCGAGTGGGGGTGAAACCTACCGCTGCAAAGGGTGCTTGGTGGGCACACTCGGGGGGGAAATTCGTTTGAGACCACAAGGGGGCCATCCCCCCCCCTCTCTCTCTCTCTCTTTTTTTATTCATGAAACTCATGAAACATGAAACATGAGACCTGACCTAGCATAGGTGGGTCCTCATGTTCCCCCCAAACTTGTGGCAAGCAATGTGGCCATTTCGGTGTGGATCCGGATTGGTGGGAGTCTGGGAGAAGTGACAAACTGCCCAGCCCTTGGTGAACAAGCTCCTAGTAGTGTCCTTGTTCCTACTAGTAAGGCCAGGAGCCCCTAGTAGCGTCCTTGCTCCTAGTAGCGATGCCCTTTGCTCCTAGTAGCGTCCTATGGATCTGGCCCGGGTTCAGAAACTACGGTTCAGCAACTGTTTTTGTCGAGTTCAGACACCGGTTTTGTCGGGTTCAGACTTTTGCCGGGTTCAGTAACGTTGGTACCAGAGCGGTCTTCATCCTGTCAGATGGGACCCTTTGACGGATTGAGGAACATTTTCACGGGTCCAGTCTGTTCTTGAGGATTGGTTTCGGTCCACAGCTTTTGGACCCACACCCAAACAACGAAAAAAAACAACACAAACACCGCTAGTCGCCGTCTCTGAGGCGATCTTTGGGTCTGGGACCCGCTTCCCGCCCGTGAACTTCAAGGGCAGGACAGCAGTCTTTCTGCTGATGTTGACTTTTGGGGGAACAAACCGCTGGCACGTGTGGAACTTGGATGAGAATTATATATATAGTAGCAGTTTGTGTTCTATATAAATGGAATCTATCCTGAATCCTGAGTATTGATTTTAACCATGTCACATCATCCATTGCCATATACTTCAAGAACGCCGTAGAAAAAGTCCGAGACAGGGGGCGATCCATCACGTCAGTCTTCAAGGTATGTCTGCATTGCGAGAGGAAAAGAGTACCTGGACAAGTGAACAACTTCTTCATCTTTCCCGGGATGTCCTTTGGGGCCTACTGGTGTGAGGCGGCCGAGAATGAATGGACATGAGTACATTACATCGATTCTGCTGCATGTGCTGCATCGAATCAGACAAAATCATCCAACGCCTGCTGCATGGGAACTTGTGGAGGATAGATGTCAAGAGTACAAGTCAACATCCCTCTCGCATGTCGAGCATCCGTCGTGAGCATTCATGAATTTTCATGCATCGGTGATCTCAATTGCCCCTTCTCTTTGGAGGCTTCAGCAGCCCGAACACAGAATAGTAGTAGATGATAGTAGATGTTTTTCACCCTCTAGGAACCACTGCATTCATGGCCATATAGTTAAGGAATACTGCTTGAGGCGCTGGGTCGCCCTTGTTCTTTATGTGGATGTGCATCTGCTTCATTCTCCGCGGAAAAAGAGTCAGTCCTATAGTAATGATTTTGTAATGCAAAGAAGGGATGTAGGGACTCATGACTACGGCTCGCAGAGAATTTTTGCTCAGGCGGAGAAAATCCCGGACAAATGGTTCATGATAGCAGCTGCCACAGTAGCACAATCTCTGGATGAGAAGGACATGGAGGCGAGGACTATGCAGATCGTTCAGCTTCTGTGGAAGGTATGAGCTCATGCTCATCTCAATCTTTCAACACCGACTGTGGCACATCCTGTGGTCCGGTTCTGCTGATCAAAAGAGGATTAGCACCAAGCGAGTGCCTTTTCGGCAAATCCGCTCCGCTGCGAAAGTTTCCCGTAGCAGTCATCGTCGGCAGTGTTGGGTCGAAGTGGTGGACGTTGGTGCGAACATCGCCTTACCTGGAGGGTGCAGTGCAGGTACCGTAGGGCAACGTGAATTCCCTACAAAGCCAAAACCTTACTACTAGGAACAAGAAGCTACTAGGAGCAAAGGGCATCCCTACTAGGAACAATGAAGGACGCTACTAGGGGCTCCTGGCCTTACTACTAGGAGCAAGAACGCTACTAGGAACAAAGGACACCATGACACGCGATCACCATGACACCTGGTCGAACAGCGGAAGCGGATAGGGCGCGGCCGAAAAGACGGTGGCAGGTGGAGTCTGTTCTGCCGCATCCTGCTCGCATTCAGCAGGTGCGCAGTGGTGCGCAGATTTTGGGTGAGATGTGATGTGCTTTGTTTCTAGTAGCTTCTTGTTACTAGTAGTAATGCCAGGAGCTACTAGTAGCGTCCTTGCTCTTAGTAGAAATGCCCTTTGTTACTAGTAGCATCTCTTTTTGTAGCAGTGTTACAGCTAGAAGATAGTTTCGAGTGGCACCCGCATCTTTGGAGGACTTTGTACCCTGTCAAAAGTGATAACAGTTGGTTCCCGTAATTCCTCGGTGTCAATGTCAACTGTCGACAAGGATGACAAGGGAGGTTTTTTGCGTGTGTTTTGTTTTTAGGTTTACCTTGCTTCCCCAAGCTGCTAGACCTTCAGATGGATCTTCACGATCTGCGCAGGTGAGCCACAATGTGTCCGTCAAAGTGGCCATGACGGCTCATCGGGAGACTTGGCCGAAGGGTTAGGAGATGGTCCAGTCAAACCGTCCATGCCTATTTGAGTGTATTCAAGCGAGTGGTTTTCCTGCAAGTCTATGTTCTCTCTGAGAGTTTTTTTGGGGCCTCAATCCGTCTCTCCCATCTCAATGTCTTGCCTGCGCATGCCTGCGCAACATTATTGTATCCGTCCGGCACGGGTTGTAGTGGGGGAGAGGCTGACTGTCACCATTTCCAGAATTTCTGAGGCCCGAACATGCGACAGGTTCTATGGCTTAGGAAGTTTTGGAGTGCCACTTGATCCTAATGTTGACTGATGACGAACAACCCCCCAGGACTAGAGATGTAAGTCCATTCTGCTCGAGAAATTGACATATCATCAGTCCACATTACACTGGACATGATCTTCGTGTCGGTCGAGCGGTCGCCCGCCCTGGTGGGAGGTGGATTCTCCGGTCACCTGAGAATCCATATGGCTGTACCAGGATGCTGAACGGTTGACCTACCTGGTGTTGGTCAAGCTACTGGGTGGACCTGGTCTCCAAGTTTTGACCCATCCCCATATGAATCCATCTCCGCTCTTCTGGCAGCGGGCAGAAAGTTCAATGCCGTATTACCGTATTGTTATCATAAATCATGGTATATTGATATATGGTTATATTTATATAAATCCCTCTCTCTCTCTCTCTCCATATGTATACATATATCCGAAGCAGGTTGGAGGCTATTGCTATTGGGTTGGAGGCCATTGCTATTAGGTTCCTTTTGCTATTTTGTTTCGGAAGCGAAAGCAACATCAAGATCTGGAGAAAACAACGCGAGGAAGGACTTGCTGGCCGACCTTTGGGTGAAGATACGGCTTCCGTGAGCACTGCGCTGAAGGCGGATATGTTTTTTCGGAGCGAGACTCAAAGACTGGAAGGACTGAAAGACTGACACGAAAATGGTGCACAGAAGGAGTCTGAATGCATGTCAAAGGGTGACCAATTGACTGAAGCCGAAGCCATTTTTTTGGATTTGCTTTTCCAGCAGCTGACTTTCTGCGTCAGGCGCGACGCTGGATGCCCTACCGAGTACCTGAGGGTGTTGGGCAACCCTGCAGCTGCAGTATATCTTAAAGATATCCTGTGGTGAAGGGACTCATCTCCTCAACCAAGTTTTTTTAATTTTGGCTTGCATGGAGAAGCACAGGTCGCAAGCAGATTGCAGATGGCAAGCGACCATCGGATATCTAGATCTCCTCACAATGGCATTTGCTTGGGACCATGAGCTTCCAATTCTTTTTTCCGTCCTCCAGAGTATGTTGGATATGACGCTTTAGGCTTAGGGCGTTGGATTTAGCTTGGTGTGCAGGGAGGGACAGTTGGCCACCATTGTAGATCATGTTTGTCAAGGTGTTGGAGAAGAGTGAGGAAAGAAGATGCCAAGCCCTGCAAAAAAAGAGCTGTCCTGACTGCTGCGGATTGCCCCGAAGGGGCGTTTGGGTTGACAGTAGAAGCGTTAGAAGTCTCGGAGATGGAAGGAGAGGAAATTTGGATGAGCAGGCCCATCACATGACCTTGGGAAATATAGGAGTCTAGTCTAATGGTCCCCTCCTCACTAAAGAAAGATCCCCTCAAGACGGGCTCATCCGCGAAGCCTGCGCATTTTCTTTGCGGGGTCTTTTCATTGCCTCAGTTGAGGATCAGGTTTCACCCACTCTGGAGCAGGCCAAACGAAAAACACCGGTGCGAAAGAATTCGATTGCAGTCCTAACGGGGCCCTGAGCGGTGCCAGCCCATCCCGTGATTTGAGTGAGGTTGTGGACATTTGCCTTGGCTCCTTGGTCAGCCCACGGAACATCAAGGAGGGGTGCGTAGGACAAGTGGATCAAAAGATGACAGGTCGCACATGAGGTTAATCTGGTTGTGTTGCTCGATCGGCTGTGAAGTGCCAGCAGGATATTGTTGCGCTGCTGAAGAAGGAGGTGATCAAGACTTTGGGTTATGAGGCTTTGCTTCAAAGGGAACGGCCTGAACAGCGGTCCTTCCCAAACCTGGACCGACGGTCGGCAAGTCACTTCAACCAAGGAGACTTCATCCTCGGAAATCCTGGGAGTCCAGTCGACTATTCAAAGAATGGTCTTTCGGTAACCTGAGTTGACCGACTTCCTCGATCCTTCAGTGGGGCAACATCTCGTCGAACTGAGATATTTTTTTTGGGAAAAGAACATGAAATCCGGAATTGGCAGCAGCTGAGAATTGACTAGCAAACATTTAGGGTTTAGTGTTGTGTCCACATCTCCGTTTGTCGGGGAGCCTCGCGCATCAAACATGGGAGAGTTTGACGCCAGGCTTCAAACACTGAGGGCAACCTGGAGTATCGCCGGCTTCTGATCCGAGCCCTCCATGCATGCACAGGTGCGGGAACCGGGGAACCGGATGCAGCACATTCTGAAAGCTGGCTCGGTTTTCTGTTTTCTAAAAGAAGGTTCGGATCACATTCAACTGATCCCCAAAGGGCAGAAATTTGGATTTTCTCTCTTCCTGCCAGCTGCGTTGTCGTTGATGACTATCCTCGTGCGGTTCTCCGTGTTCGGGTCGCTTCATGGCCAACGAATGGCCGCAGTGTGAGAAAACATGGAGCGGACAGTTGCGACTGTACACCAGCGTTTTTCCAAAATACCGACTGGTGCTTAGTAAGGTATGGAAGAATGAGCCCCCAATAAAGAATCCTTAGAATCCATTCCCTTGTTCCCTTCCAAGCGCCAGTTAGAATATTTCCATATATTTCCTCTATACCAACACCTTCCTGTCTGGACACCTCACTAAAATAGAAGACTGGTTCTCCGCTCTCCATTCATTGAAGGAAGGCCAAGTTTCACTGCCCTTTCTTCCAACCAAGCTGACCTGGCGGACAGGCCTCTCAAAGCTCCTGACAGGTCAATATCCTGATCAAGCCCAGAGCGTGATGTTCCTGCTGATGGATCCTCATTTGCACTGATCTCCACTTCTTTTTAGGTGCTCTGCCACACATTTGGGCAATACGATTGGTGTACCACTGCTGAGGCAGGCTTCAGTTTTTCTATGTTTTTCTAGCCTCACAGCTGATTTGATTTGTGAATCGTTCTGTACAAAGCCCCGTGGTGGTTCCTTCCATGGGGATAACTTGATAACCCATGGTTTGGTGTTTTGCAGGTGAGGTGTTCCCAGTGCCCCAATGTTTGGACACCTCAAATTGGTAGTGAAGCATGACCACTGTCGGACAGTCTTGACGCTGGACTGGCTGTCCGGCTGTCCAAACGCTGGACTGGCGTGGCCCAGTGCATTCCTCACTGCGAACGACGAAGATTCAGGTGTTTATGCACCTGCTTAACAACAACCCCCAGACTGAGCAGAATCCCAAATCTCTTCCCTGCGCGTTTCGGGTTTGAGTCCACCTCACTAAGTCCCGTGCGTTTCGGGAGCAAGCCGTGCAAAGCCTTTCCACTCCGTCGGGTTTCTCCGGTGGCACTGAGGATTTCCTCACGGAGTCCGATCAAACCACAGCCACAGAAGTGGCCAGATGCCCAGTTGACCCTGCCAGATGCTGAAAGCAGCCCGACTTCCGGTTCCTCCAAACTGATGGGTGAGAAACGGACCGGGACCCAGACCCCTTCCAGAGGATTTGGGGCCAGTCCCGGTTGCGTTTGGGCTGAGGGGGTCTCGGAGGGTTTTCGAGTCTTGGCCACCGAAGCAGGCACACCCAGGAGCCAACTTGTTGGGGGCCTGCGCTTGTCTTGCAAAGCTTGCCGCGGGAATCGTCCAGCTCCAAAGTTCCAATGGATAAACCATGATCAAAGATGATTCGATATACTTGTAGCATTACGAGTAACAGTCAGTCGGTACCGGATTATATATATATAGTTTTGAGAAAGGCCTCTACTACCTACTTTACCTTACCTTACTTTGGCTTAGCTTAGCTTAGCTTACCCCTGCCTCCCTCCCTCTGTCCTTCCGTCCCTCCGTCCCTCCATCTCTCCGTCCGTCCCTAACTAACTAACTAACTAGCTAACTAACTAACTAACCAACTAACCAACATTAACCAACTAACTAACGAACGAACTAACTAACTAACTAGCTAACTAGCTAACTAGCTAACTAACTAACTAACTAGCTAACGAACTAACTAACGAACTAACTAACTAGCTAACGAACTAACTAACGAACTAACGAACTAACGAACGAACTAACGAACTAACTAACGAACTAACTAACGAACTAACTAACTAACTAACTAACGAACTAACTAACTAACTAACTAACTGGCTAACTAGCTAACTAGCTAACTAGCTAACTAACTAACTAACTAACGAACTAACTAACTAACTAACGAACTAACTAACGAACTAACTAACTAACTAACGAACTAACTAACTAACTAACGAACTAACTAACTAACTAACGAACTAACTAACGAACTAACTAACTAACTAACTAACTAACTAACCAACTAACTAACTAACGAACTGACTAACGAACTAACTAACGAACTAACTAACTAACTAACGAACTAACTAACTAACTAACTAACTAACTAACTTAACTAACTAACTTAACTAACTTAACTAACTTAACTAACTTAACTAACTTAACTAACT